GTCACTGGCCCCTGTGGGATCCGAACCCGCGGCCCTGCTGCTCAGAGCTGGAGCTCCCAAGCCAACTCTCAAGCAACAAGCCACTCGGCCGGCCCTCTAGTCCTGTTTTATTTCCTATTGTATATATCCCTTTTCCATATTCTAATTATTAGCTTATAGTTCACTCCGTCTCCTATGATAATTCTTTGGATAGAATTTTACACACACACACCCTAGATTTTATTTTGGGGTTTCCATAGCCTACTTCCGATAATATATGCCACTTCCAGCTCTGTATTACACTTTCCTCCATCTTAACGCTCTTCTGGCAGGATAGCGGGGAGTCCTAAACCAAAAGTCCAGTTACCCTGGGGTGGGGTAGGATGCACAGACCCACCTGTGTCTGGGGGAGGCGGTGGGGTTGGGCAGAGCAGGCTGAAGCCATCTGGCAGCTGGACTGCAGCCAGGAAGCGGACGTGGCCAGTGTGTCCCTGGCCTAGGCCAGTGGGGCTGAGGGGAGCTCGAGGGCAGCTGACAGTACTGGGTGAGGTGGGCATGGTGAGCACGACGCCAGCACTGGTGCCCACCCATAGCAGCTCTTCACAAACCAGCAGTGCTGTGATCCTCAGGCAGGCAGCCTTGTGCTGCCGGATGATGGCGTCCGAGCCTGGGGTGGGAGACAGACCAGACCTGAGGCTGAATCCTGGTCCTGGCTCAGCCTCCTCAACGACAGGACAAAAAGGCTCCAAGGGAAGAGATAGTGGTAGACTGAGGTCAGTACCTGCCAGCATCCTGTGCACGGGAGGTGTGACATCTACCTCTGCCAGCTGCTCAAAGGTGTCTGGATGGTAGAGACACACGTGGGCACTACCTTTCAATGTCACCCACACGCCCAAGCTGGAGTCCACCATACAAGCCACGCTGCGGCTAGAATCCTGCCCCACGTAGAATGTGTGCTGAGGGGGCAGGTAGAAAGCAGATGAGTGACTGGCAGACCTGCCTCCCTGGCCCCTCCCTGCCTTGTGCTTCACCAGTATCCATCCCTCCCTCCTCACAACTCACACCAAACCTCTCCACAAAGCCCACCTGGCTTGACAGCAAAGGCAGCCTTGCTCCTGGGTCTGGGTGATTAACTTATCAAAGCTTGGTTTCACTGAAGCCTCCCCCACTTACTCCTCAGGAATTAAAATGGAGGTGTCCTTTCCCCATGAAACTTGAGTGATTTAATAAGCAGAGAATTTCAAAGTTTAAAGGGTTTTCAGAGCAATCACTGGCCTCTCCCTACACAGCTGGATACTTTTCTATGGCCCCCATAGTCTCATCTCCCTCTCTTGTGGGTCTGGCTTACCCCAGGTCACCAATTCAGTCCCACTCCCACCCTCCCCACCCCCCACCCCTGCTACCTCTAGCTGCAGCGTGTCAGGGCTCAGGACAAGGACTCGGTTCTGGCAGCCACACCACAGCCGCCCACCCACAGACACCATCTTAGTGATGGTGTTCCCCTGAGCACCCAGGGTCACCGATTTGAAGTTCTGAGGGTCCCAGAAACGACCTGGAGTGGGAGTGGGGTAAAGAAAACAGCAAATTCAGTCCAGTGTTGCATTTGAGCCTCACCTTCTCCTGAAATGAGGCGCTAAAAACCCCATTTATAAATGAGGACACTAAGGCCCAGAGAGGGGCTCGGAGCTGCCCAAAGCCACATCTCCAGACTCAGGGCCCCAAAGCCCCAGCCTCTCAGGAGAGAGCTCCCACACCAGCCAGGGGCTCCAGGGGAGTGGGGGAGGGCTGGGTGCTCACCTGCTTCTCTTTGGTAGACCACAAGTTCCCCATTAGCCAGAGATACAAACACCTGGTTATTCAGGTACCTAGGCAGGAAAAAGGGGGAGGAATCAAAGGCTTCAGGAAGCCAAAGTAAGTCACCTGGGGCCAAGGGCATCACAGACAGAGGGCTATGGTTTCCAAGAGATCACCTCTCCAGGTGGAGGACCCTAAGTCTAGGAAGGGGCAGTGACTTGCCCAAGGTCACACAGTATGTGAGAGGCACAGCTAGCCTAGGGCCAGGCCTCTGGCCACCAGCCTCCAAAGAGATGGTGGGCCAGGAGAGCAGAAGGACCGGGGTGAATAGAAAGAGGCCTGCATGTGCGGCTGAGGGGGGTCTGGACCAGAAGGGCCACCTGGGGGGCCTTACAGGATGCAGGTGACCGAGGCTGTGTGCTGGAGCTTCATGCTGTTCCTGCGATCACGGATGCTGTCGGAGGACTGGTACACGTGGACACTGTGGATCAGGGGTGTGCACCTGTGACAAGCGCTTGGGCACACCAGTCCTGAAGTCATCCCTCCACCTCTTCAGCTCCCCCACCATCTCCTCCATACCAGGTGCCTGCCCAAGGTACTGAGATCATCCCATAGCCTCCCTGTGGGTTTCAGACCCACTGGCAGCCCTGGCTGGCAGTACCCCTGGGGTCTGACCCAAAGACTCTCCCGCTTCTGCTTCAGGATACCATATGATTTCCAAAGCAGGGAGCTCCAGGTTCTGGCACTGTGACCCTGGTCCCTCCCGTCCCTACCAGCCGTCCTCAGTGCCCAGCCACACGGAGCTCTGATAGGCCTCAGGGTCAACGCTCAGTAGGTCCTCGAGGCTGCCTCGGGTGAAGGAGCCACGGCTGGAGCGGCGAAGGGCTCTCCCATCCATTGGGCTGGTGCCACAGGGACCTCCAGGCCCAAAGGAGCCCGACAGTGGCAGGAAGCCAGGCTCTTGCTCCTCCTCTGAACTGGTTGTCTCTGCCGTGGCTTCCTTGGAGCTTGGGGTCTCCTCATCTGAGGGAGACAAAGGTCTCTATCTCCATTCCGCTCTGCCAAGCCTGAACCTCTCTCTAGGCCCCAGTCTCCTCTCAATGCATCCCTTCTGGCCATGTCCCTCCCAAGGGCCTCCCACAGCTGTTCTTCCTGTCCCCGAGACCTCTGCATCAGCTCAGGCCTTGTTGCCCTGCTCCCTGACAGCTTAGTGCTACAGGTTCCTAGTCCTAGCATGGCCCCCTCCAATTCGCCACCATAGTATGGACAGAGAGACCAACCACTCCACCCCACTCCAGATTCCTTAACTCGACAGTCATTCCCGAGTCTTCAGGATCTGGCCTGCCTGTCCTGGATCCTCGTATCACACCCCTGCCTACCTTGCTGGCTCCCACCGCTCTGCTGTGTGTGCTAATATCCTGAGACTTGATTCCATGCCTTTGCTAATGCAGGTCCCTTCTCACTCATCAATACCCACTGGGCTGTCCCCTCATCTGGGCAGTCCACAATGCCTGACAGCCCCAAGTTGGACACTTACTGCCAAAGCTAGAGGAGATGGTGGACCGGCTGGCCTGACTCTGCAGGGTCCCTGATGGGCTGGGTGAAGACTCATCGTCTGAGTCACTGTCAAAAGGCACCAATTCCGGGCGGGGGTCACTGTCAGTGGGGCCTGGCGCTATCTCGAGGCCTGAGCCTGCAATGGAGATGTGCAGGCAGGCCTGGGGTCCTGGCTCAGCCAGCGTCACTGCTTCTTCCTCCGAGGCCTCAACATCCATTTCAGGCCCAGTGGTCTCAGGTGCTGACTCCTGGGGGCCCTGCAGGGATGAAGGCCGCTCCCTGGGAGACAAAGGGGCGGGGATGAGAGCCCCTAAGAGCCCAGGCTCAGCCCCACTCTCCAGCAAGCCCACCAGGCCCCGCCCCACGGACACGCCCTAAAGGCCTGCCACATCCACTAAACACGCACATGCCCACAACTACACAGGGGTGATTGTGGTGTGCTGAAAATAGGGACTCAGTGCAGCAGCCCCACCCACCACCATGCCTCACCGGTGGCAACGTGGCTGCAGCCCAGGCACCGCCCCAATGCAGAGGATGCGAGCAGAACAGACGGCGATACAGGCCTCCACATCTGGCTCGGCGCGGAGGCTCAGCAGGCACACCTGGCCTACGTAGCCATCACTGTTGCACACCCACACTTCCGGCGTGGGTTCAGGGCAGCTGCTCAGGGTCGGGGCCGCGCACGAGAACTGTGAAAGGTGCCAATGGACAGGGGAAGGTGAATGAAGGAATTGCTGCTAGCTATCCATTGCTCTCCAGGCCCACCAGCAGGACAGAGGGCGGCAGGCCCACACAGGTGTGTGGATTTCCAACACACCCCTCTGCATATGTGTACACATACAGCACATGTGACACTCTTTACACATCGAATGCACACATGCCTGTCCTATAGGTATCATCGTTTCATGCATGCACATATATGCATACCCCAAATATAATCATTTGTATATCCATGTAACAAACGTGAAAATAGTAACCTTTATCCATAGGTATACACTCATACAAGCACATAAATTAGACTTTCCATCAGTCGTAGAGCCTTTGCTCAGATGCACAGATACAGACATACATGATTATACCCATATGCATGTGACATGTATGCAGTGTCCATGTGCACGTACAGAGAGAGCTGTACACTCAAAGACACGGGAACAGTTATAATATTCAAGACATGCATATAATGTACACAAAACAGAACACATGAACACGTGCTGGCTTTGAATATGTGCACCCACATGATCCAGGTACATACACATACCTGCATGCCACTGCGTGTTTTCATGATGGGGATGGCCTTCAGGAACTCAGGGTCTAGACAGCTTTTGTTGGATGCTATAGTGGAGATGGACAGACAGACAAACACTGCTTAACATCCACCTCATCCTGGTCCTGACCTTGCCCACTTATTTACCTGCTTGTTCCTGGCCTTCAGTGCCCATCTGTACCATGTAGGAAGTAGACCCAGAGGTCTCTACAGATATTCTAAGCCATGGACCTTGATCAACAGCTTTCCCTGATCCAGGCCTCCTCTAAGAGTGTGTGTGTGTGTGTATGTGTGTAGATGGAGGGGTTCCTGGCCATCCCATGATGGAGCCCCTGATTTAAGCTGACCCTATCCATGGAATCCCCTCCCTGCAAGGGAGGCCCTGAGGAAGTCCCACGCTTCACTGCAGATGTCTTCGTCTACCCTCCCACCATCAGGGACTGGAACTCAGGACATGGCAATCCTCGAGTTTCTGGCTCCTGATGTCTCAGACAACCTCAAGGTGCTGCCCATTGCCCACTGCCTGGAGGTTCTGGGAGGAGGGTGCTGGCATTGGCCCTGGCTTACCCAGCTTCCTCTTGGCCTCATCAAAGGCCTGCTCAAAGCCAAGGCGGGCGTCAGGGTGGGGAAACTCGAAGATGAAGGAGTCAGTGCCCTCAGGCCTCGTGGTGCATAGCTCCAACTTAGTAGGGGGGAAGGAAAGCGCATAGCACAGCGCCTGCTTCTCTGACAGGTCCCGGTGCATGGCAGCCGAGAGGTCCCGCAGCACGTCGTCCAGGCTCTGTGGGGCAGAGGGCCCAGGACTCAGGCCCTAACATTGCCCCACAGCCTGCTTCTGCC